TATTTTCTGAGTAGTCTTGTGTTCACAGCTTTGTGGATTGTGTGGCTATTGTCCAATGCCACTACACTACTCTCCCACCAGAATCAACGTGATGTTGGTTCGATACCAAATTGGATGGGATCGTCGCGCGCCGGAGGTTACCGAGGACAATAAGGATCCTCCGGGTATTGATAAGCTGAAAGATAAATCAAAAAGAAGGCGGCAGCATCTGGTCGGGAAATACATGTAATAATTTTAAAAATATCTGCCTTCATGCTTAACACGCTTAAAATGACAATTTGGGTAAAGATTATTTGAGCTATAAAAAATGGGATTACAGTAATAATGATAAAACAATGCGTGTTAATAGCCGTTGGGTAATAATTTAACGTATAGGTAGTAAGTATGTTGTGTTTAGAAATATTAAAGTAATCAATATTGTAGAAACGTTAATATTGGTATTAGTTTTGGTTTAGATTATGAAATCAATTTACAATTATGCCGGTAACCTGTCCATATGTGATTTCCAATTGCATCTGTATTAGTAGGCTAACTGAAAGAACAAAAGTATTAACGTGGAGAAGAATTCCAACTAGTGTTCCTGTTAGTTTGATACGGTTTATTTAGTTACGGGGAGATTTTCTCAACCTCATTTTTACTTGACCGTGATAGAATTTAGTAATACTACTAATACACATGAATGGTTATCCAAACAAAATTTAAATGCATGAATGATAATTATATGAATTTTGGACAGATAGCTAGGAACAAATCGTTAAACATGAGTGTATTCGTAAGAGACATGCTCTAGACTCAATGTTCTGATCTGCGGCAGACTATTTATTTATATTTATACTTGCTCACTGATTGGGCATACAGGTTAGTTGCAAGTATGCAGTTTATCATAAGGCGGAATACGATTTAATTGAGATATAGTGGTTATAAGTTATTAAAATCAGTTAGGCTTATGTGTCATATTACTAAGTGGTGTGGTGCTGCAAGATGTATTTGGCAAAATAGGTTTTTACAAGATGATTAATAGTGAGTGATGCTCATGTGATTATCAGGGAGAACATAAGTTGTAACCAAGGGGAGTACACTCCTAACTCATGTCTATGATGATGGCTTGAACCTTAGTCAGTGTTGGGGTAAATTCGACATTGATGTTTTCAGTTTGCAGGAGATTTGCTCGACTGCTTATACTGATTATTTGCATGCATGATTGTGTCGCTAAACCATCAATTAGACTGACAAGGTTTCGAGATATTTACTGAGTGAGCAACTGATAGAGAAACATACTGTAATCATCTGTAGTGAATGAAGATAAAAGAAAAACAACACTAGTGATAATTATAAGTCAATTTGCTGACCGATTTTGTTAATAGTTTCATTAATTTTATCAGTCATATTACGTGATTGTCAAGTCATGACAATGCTTTATGACGATATTCTGAAACTATTACGTTTAACTAGTTATAGTGTTGATTGAGGATTAGTCAGTGGAAAAATAGGTATTGTTGCTTTAGGTGATTCGAAATCATCAGAAACTTATAACGTTAAAGAATCCGAGACGCCTAATTTAATTATAAATTTCAATTCGGAAATATTCGTTTAGTGTTAATTTTAGTAGGCTACGGAGTTTTGATTTTAAACGTTTGTTTAGCCAACAGCTACCTGGGGATTTAGTTATTTTATTAGTGCAGTTGACAGTACCTAAATTTTTAATCTTATTATCTAAACTATGTTCGCATTTTAGGCTGGTAATATGATAAACTGATCCATAAACCCAAATACGATTAGCAACAACGACTGTGATGGGTTTATTGATAAATGTTAAAGGCGATCCAGATGATTTCTAAATTTATAAGACATGGAGATATAGTGTAACGTATGTATGGGCCAGGTTAACATGCAGGTTGTTGACGTATATGACGATTTAAAAATAATGAACATGACCAGAAAATAATTTTAAAGTTAAGACTGCTTGTGAAACTTCAGGCAGGAATATGATGCGTTATAAACATTCCATAAGAAGTTACTGCATTTAGCCTAGGGACACTTACAAATATATAGCAAAAGGAACCGGAAAACATATACATGTTAATTAAAAAAATCATTAAGTAAAATAGTTGAACTCGCCTGGATTATTTTTGAAAATTAGATTATTCAGTGGACGACATATATAACGCCATTCGTGAGGAGTAGTAATGATCCAAAAGCATCCAGAATAAAACATACAGTGTGGCAATCACTTCCAGGGTGCTTGATGCTGTTGAGGTCTTTGGGACTCGCTCTGATCAGAACAATCGAAAGAATCCAGATAATTGTGTGTGTGCCATCTAAAATGAACTTAGGATTGCAGAAAACTTATAGCTGGAACTCACCGTATGTTTTTGGAGTAGTCATCCTCGTTGTTTGGCAATGGAACTCGAGAATATGAAATTAGGCAGGCAGTGGTCGGAAGAAAAGATATTACAGGATAGTGCATCGTTTAAAACAGGATGAGGTGTTAAGTGAAGGAACACTGAGAATTAGATCCAGATAACTATTTAGTCCTTGATCGCATTGTTAGTCAATGTATATTTACGCTATTTACAGGTCATATTTGCTAGAGCTTGATGTTTAAACAAGACTATGTCGCTGAAGCATGTAAATGCTATTACAGCTTGTTAACAAATCATCAAAGCTAATTAGTTAATATAGACGACCAGTTTTTATTATCGATTGAGCTAGTTTGTCATGAGGACTAATCAATATAACATTACGATAATGCATGTGAGCATTAATCAGAGGACTATTGGAATACAGGGTTAACATAAATATAAAATCGATCGAGAAAGTTGAAGTGGAAATAAGGATTAATAATATTAGGTTGCGTTTCTTTAGTTGGGCTCACCAATGTAGGATTATGGTCTACTATGATATTAGTACTGCTCTAATAATAGACCTAATCCTAAATTTGTAGATTCGTCATGATATAACTGCCTAATCTATAAGATCTTACGTGGAAGTCACACCATCGACTACACCAACTCACTGTATCGTATCAATTACCAATACCTGACGAGGAACAAGGTTAGGCTAGAGAAAGAACAATATATTTAATATGAATAGAAGATATAAAGTAACACTGAAATGGACCACGCCTGCATGGACGAGCCATGCCACTCGATCAACTCCCGTCCATTCAATTCATTGTTCGCGCCTTCTCCATTGTTAGGTATTTATCCGCGTTAAATATTGAATATCTATTTTCTGAGTAGTCTTGTGTTCACAGCTTTGTGGATTGTGTGGCTATTGTCCAATGCCACTACAAACCCTTTACGTTTCATCAAGAACAAATCAGGTAAGGTGCCTCGACCACTAGCATGTAATCCAGCAATGCCCTATACTGTGATGAAATTTCGTGGATCTTCATTTAAAAAACCTTTCGATAGTGATTACGGTATTTCTGTCAGAAAAAGCCAATGATTATGGTTATCTTACTTTCCACCAGAGAGTTGTGCAGATTATTGAGTTTTAATTGAGACCATGAACCGACCAGTGCTAGATTATCATTGAAAACCTGGAAGCATGGACTTCCGCTTCGTCTTATTGCGGGACTCCTCAGCAATGCACACACACAATCCCGTCCAGCGATTATCATTCAGATTTTCCCGTTTTTTTTCCGAGTTGCTATATTTATAATTTTTAAGTAATGTATCTTGAGTATTCTAGACTGATAAAGGTACATTTGGATTTGACTCGACTTCAAAGTTGGGTAGACGATAACGAACTTACCTTGAACACTTCAAAGTGTAAAGTAGTCCATCTGATACATGTTGCAGACTACAGCTACAACTTAAGAAACTCCTCTCTAGTAGTATCTCGAGTCGAAGAAAGTTCAGGAGAGCTGGTATTCTACGATTTGAAGTCCTACGCTAACTGTGACAAAAATGTGGATCACCAACGTAGATGATCTGTGTCGAAATGATTGGAGGCCTACTCGAGTTAGACGTAAATGGTGTGACAAACTAGCTAATGTCGAAGTCACACCTCGTGGTTAGCACGTTACGTGGACTACCCCATTGACGTATCAAGGTACCACAGATGCTTTGAAGACTGTACAACACAGAGGGCGTTATTACATAAATATATTAGTTAAGGTAGATACAAGCGAAAGTAAGACCACTGCTGCATGGGCCAGTCCATGGCATACGATTAACTGATGCGCGTTGGTTGTCCCTGACATTGGCGACGATCGATGATTTGCTCGATATTCAGTGACCCGACTGACGGATGAGTTGGCTAGGGCTTAGTGACATTTCGATGGCCCTACAAAAATACCTTTCGAGCAAACCTTGCTATGATAACATTGAAGCGCGTTTTTGGAAAGTTTGACGGAACAACTTTCCACATAATCTTCAAAATTTTTTTCGTCCCCGTTTAGAGTACGGAAACATTGTACTTCCTCCCTCACTCCAAAGGGATAAAGGCACTGTGGAGCGTATCCAACGGCGAGCCACGAAATCAGTTCAGCGACTCGAACTCAAACCTTATGAACAGCACCTCTAATCACTTAAGTTTTAGCCATTAGAGTATAGGCGTCTTAGAGGTGACCTTCTGATTGCTTACAGTATCCTTAACACTTCTAGATATCCCCCTAAACACCTAACTAAGCTTAGTCCCAATACAAACCTAAAGGGAAACACTCATAAATTGGAGATGCAACATAGCGGAATGGACTGTAGACATAACTTCTACTCCTTAAGAGTTGTCGAGTGCTGGAGTTTGTTTTCTACTGAACTAGTCCGAGCAACTTCTCAAGAGTCCTTTAAGAGGAAACTTGACCTATTCTTAAGGACTAAGGATAACATCTTATTATGACTTACCAATTTCTTTTTTCCTATATTATCGTTAATATACTTAAGTTTCTGCCTGGAGGTATTGGTGATCCACTGCTACTAGACACGGAAGCCCGTTTAGCGAAAGCTCTTTTTATTCTGTCTATAACCATTCGAACCATTTAATATTGGACCTTTGGCCGCTGACCCCCGCGTACTCTGAGATCTTGCACGCAATATTTTTTTCCAGTGAGTCAGGATGCAGATTTTCGTGAAGACACTTACGGGAAAAACTATAACCCTAGAAGTTGAGCCTGCTGATACAATAGAAGCAGTTAAGGCGAAAATTCAGGATAAAGAAGGCATCCCACCAGACCAACAACGTCTAATTTTTGCTGGCAAACAACTGGAAGATGGACGAACTCTTTCCGACTATAATATACAGAAGGAATCAACACTTCATCTTGTCCTCCGTCTTCGTGGTGGTATAATAGAGCCTACCTTGAAGGCATTAGCTCAAAAGTATAACTGTGAAAAGATGATCTGTCGAAAATGTTACGCACGCTTGCATCCGAAGGCCACTAATTGCCGCAAAAGAAAGTGTGGACACACAAGTAATGTAAGGCCCAAAAAGAAACTTCGTTAATCCATAATTGAAGCGAATAAATTTTTCTCGGAATTTGCTTTCTCATTTCTTAACGTCAGACTGTCTGTATTGGCTGTTATTGTGGATAAGTGCATTTATGCTGCAGTTGTTATAAGTAGTAAGTATTGTTTACCCTCCTGACAGTAAGCTTGAGATAAGCAACCCTATTTAGAAGGTATGGGAGTCAAAACCTCTTAGTTGTACTTAAGATAGGGTGGATGTCGTAATGTCAACTTTAATCCGTTGTGGGCGTTTCATTTCTAGATATTTAGTCCGTGCCTTAGTTGGGGTTTATTGTCTTATGTCTTTGTGGAGAGTTGGTTTTGGATTGTGTTGTTACCATTTACCCATAGTGTTTTTCAGAAATTACATCGCACACAGCTATCAGGAACACTGTGCCGGCATGTGCCGCAAGTTACCGTTTGAACTATTTTTCTTGCTTTAATGAATAGTAATATTTGCAAATGTTGTATTTTCAATTTATATTCAAGTCTGCTCTAAAATTGTTAGTCTGTGTGCTCATTTGCGTATATGAACTTTTGGATCCTTTTCTTTAATGTTCTTAATTGAATTACCATTAGGGTATAGCACATTTCAGTCTGTAACTCAATTACTAACAGTGGACGGTTGACCGTAGTGTAGTATAATCTTGGAGGTTGGTATTCCCCCTTTTCATGGATGTGGTTTTTAATCAAATTAGGTCGTTTTGCTGTGATAATGAATTTCTGTCTGAACCTAAGGCTGGGGCACGATACGTTTGTTATATCTGTCGTTCAGTGGTTTATTAAGCCTAGCATTATAGATCACAGTCTGTTTAACAAGGTTTTTGACTGTCAACATTTCAAGTAATTTGAATCCGATTAAGTACATATTTGATGGACTGGAGATCGCTTCTGAATTCTCATTATTCATCAACTACTTTGGGACCCGTTATAGTTGTTTGCTACTTTGCTGTCTTCCGATATCACATGAATTGTCATACTATATTAGCTACTTATCTTTTTAAGCGTAGCTCGTGTTCTTTGAAAAATGATACATGTCGTCATAAAAGACCTCGAGGCTTTAGTCTCATATCCCTTAGGGTTTCAGTATTTGCTGGTGGCATTATATAATAAGTTTCTTGTCTGAAATTTGAATCACATTCAAAGTCGACCCGATAATACAACCTTCCAAACAACAGAACTCTGCAAAAGATGAGGTGTCCATAATAAATTAAAAAGACTACTGCAATCATATTTATATTTCATTCTTAGATTACAGTTGTCAGCAACCATCCACCAGGTTTAAAAGAGTTTAGTTTGGCTTCTGCCAACTTACGTCACCTATGGCGTAGACGAGATATCCGTCTATCAATAAAAGGACGAGTATACTGCGCGGCAGTTCGTTCCGTTCTACTTTACGGCTGCGAAACATGGCCATTAAGAGTCGAAGATACTTGTAAGCTACTAGTATTTGACCACAGATGCCTTAGAAATATTTCTGGCGTCTGCTGGGATCACCGGGTAGGTAATAGTGAGGTTCGACGCAGGGTATTAGGAAATGGTGGTAAATCAGTTGATGTGGTTGTGAATCATCATCGACTGAGATGGTTGGGCTACGTGTTACGTATGCCTAAACACCGATTACCACGACGTGCAACGCTAACCGGTATTGGAGATGGTTGGAAGAAAGTTAGGGGTGGCCAAACCAAAACGTAGCATCAGTGCTTGAAGTCACTAACTTCTTGTCTAAGCCATGTTGGAAGATGCAGACTACTTGGTTGGGGTCCACGTGACTATCGTAACGAATGGTTGGAGACTGTGTGTGACATGGTTCAGAATCGATCACAATGGCGTTGGTTTATACACTCTGTCCTCCCTTAAACTAAGAGATTAAAATCGCTTTATATCTTGCTTTCTACAAACTAATTCTTTCTTACTGTACTATATCCTTATTGTGATCTTTCTTTTATATATTACCGCCTCTGAATTAACTACTTTTATGAATTCGGTGTTCGTCTTGTTGTGCTAATGCGGTATGGCAACTTGGACTGATGCACATATGTGCTTGTTCCTACGTTGTAGCTGACTGAGTCATCATACTCATTTGCCATATCGATAGTAATGCGTTTCACAAATTGACATAAATCTTGTTTTTGTCTCTAGCAATTATTGAATTTTATTTGATGGTACGCAACTTATCAGTGTATATGGCAGTTACCCGGTATACTGTGTGTATAACTTAAGCTCCATCTTACCAATTGTAAGCGATCTTGCACAGGGTACTGCTGCTCTAATATTAGATTATATAACATTAGTAATTCATTTGTATGGGAGGGAAAAAGAAATATTGTCAAAGTACTGCTATTAAGATTTGACAATTAATGAAAATTCTATTGAGACAGCTCGTAATGACTTTTGCTCGGGTACAATATAAATTCTAAGTCGTATGTATGACTACTTAACACTTACGGTGATAGACAATACTACATAATATATATTTCTAGGGGTTAGTAATGGTTTTGGGATCAATAAGTTGTTTGGAAGGGTGTAAATGTGCTTGTATTGAGGTAGAAATTGTGCAACTCACAGTACACTTGTTCATTTAATTTGTTTTAAGCCACACTGCTTTTGTGAGGACTAATGATACTACCTAGCTGGACAGATGAAAGTGGGCATTGCCGTGAAGACGGAATTATCAGTAAGGTAATCAGTCAGTCAGCTACAACGTAGGACCAGGCACATATGTGCATCGGTCCAGGTTGCCATACCTCATTAGCACAACAAGATGAACACCGGATTCATAGGAGTGGTTAGGTCAAAGGTTGCAATAAGGATATAGTATAGGAAGGAAGAATTAGTTCGTAGAAAGAAAGATATGAAGTGATTTTAATCTCTTAGTTTAAGGCAAGACAGGGAGTGTATACACCGACGCCATTGTGACCGATTCTGAGCCATGTCACCAAGAGTCTCCAACCATTGGTTACGATAGTCACGCGGACCCCAACCAAGTAGTCTGCATCTACCAACATGGCTCAGACTAGAAGTTAGTGACTTCAAGCACTGATGCCACGTTTTGGTTTGGCCGCCCCTAACTTTCTTCCAACCAACCCCTACACCGGTTAGTATTGCACGTCGTGGTAATCGGTGTTCAGGCATACGTAATACGTGGCCCAACCATCTCAGTCGATGAAGATTCATAACCTCATCAACTGATTTACCATCATTCCCTAATACCCTGCGTCTAACCTCACTATTACTTACCCGGTGATCCCAGCAGATGCCAGCAATATTTCTAAGGCATCTGTGGTCAAATACTTGTAGCTTACGGGTGTCTTCTACTCTTAAAGGCCATGTTTCGCTGCCGTAAAGTAAGACAGAACGGACTGCCGCGCAGTAAACTCGTCCTTTAATTGATAGACGGATATCTCGCCTCCGCCAAAGGTGACGTAAGTTGGCAAAAGCCAAACGAGCTTTTCGAATCCGTGCTGAGATTTCGTCAGACACCAACCCATTAGGGCTGATCAGACTTCCAAGATAAGTGAAGTTGTCGACGCGTTCGACTACTTCACTCCCTATCCTTAGTTCAGGTGTTGACGCAGACCAGTCCTGAAGCAACAACTTGCATTTAGAGGGAGAGAAGCGCATTCCAAACATTCTGGCATTGTTGCTTAGTGCTACCAGAAGACTCTGCATTTTGTCAGCGTCTTCACCAAACAGGACTATATCATCTGCGTATTCTAAGTCGATAAGTGGACCTCCTGGAAGGAGATCAATACCCGAGAATTCAGTCGACGAGAGTGTTATTTCCATCAATAGGTCTATGATGAAGTTAAACAGAAATGGAGAAAGTGGACAGCCTTGACGGACACCACTTGAAGTTGCAAAAGTAGATGACAGTTCGCCATAAGCCCTGACTCGACTAGTAGTGTTCGAGTAAAGAGCCTTCACAAGGTTTATGTACTTCTGAGGTACGCCTTTCAATGACAGACACTGCCACAGAGTCTCGCGGTCTACAGAGTCAAACGCTGCTTTTAAGTCAAGAAAGACCACCATCGTCGGACGCCGATAGGTATGCCTGTGTTCTAGAACCTGACGAATGGTGAATATGTGGTCGATGCAGCCACGACCAGGTCTAAAGCCAGCTTGGTTCTCTCGAGTTTGTAGTTCACGAGTCTTAGTTAGGCGTCTGATAATTATCGAGGCCAGTATTTTAGATACTATGTTTGTTAAACTAATCCCTCTGTGGTTGTCACAGGATGATTTTGACCCTTTCTTATATATTGGGACGATAAGTGATTGCGACCAGTCAGATGGGATAAAGTCTAATTCCCAGATCTTAGCTAAAATATTAGTCAACCTAATCGCTAAAATTGGACCACCATCCTTAAAGACCTCTGGAGCCAATCCATCTGGACCAGCTGCCCTTCCTCGTTTCAGATTAACTATAGCCTTTTGAACTTCAGCAAGAGTTGGGGGACCTACTTCAATGTTCCATTCACATTGTCTGGGAATGGAGGGTAGTTGTAGAGTAGCTGAAGGCCAGCTGAACTGTTCTCTAAAATGTTCCGCCCATCGTTCTAAACGTCTGGACTGGGAGCAGATGAGAGTATCATCTTTTTCCGAAATAATCTCACTTACACTTGACTTATTAATTCCAGTTTCTTTTATTAGTCTGTAAAGCTGTCTTGTGTTCCCTATAGTCGCCGCCTTTTCCATCTCTTTTGCTTTCGTTACCCACCACTGCTCACGGTCGTTTCTTAGACTTTTTCTTAACCTAGATCTGATTTGTTTTCGCTCTTCATCATGTTCAGAACCTGATGGGACGAGTTTGCGAGAATCCATCAGTGTGACAGACCTTGAAGAAATCCACTGGTTCCTTGCAACTCTGTGGTTTAAGTCACTAATAGATGTCACTGCTGTTTCCACAGCTGATTGTATGCTCTTCCAAGCAACATCTGGGTCAGCCTCGTCTTCACAACTACCTAAGTGTGACCTCAGTTGTTCCTGGAACCTACTTTTGGTTTTCTCGTTACTCAACTCAGTTCTAACG